AATTTTTATCACAGGGGAACAGGGTTTGGTCGAAGAGTACAGTTCTTTGTTCACTCAGGAACTTCACGAAAATAATAATAGAGCCCCCCTAATGGCAATTACTGTACTGGTTGATAATGTATCAACTTTTCAACGCCAAGCTCTCACTGCCAGTCTGCAGAATGTAAAGAAAGAATTGTATCGATTTTCAAGCCTTGCAGTGTCCTTCTGGGCTCTACTGAATAACATACAGCCAACTACAATCTGGAAAACTATTCAGGAGATGGAAAACAGAGGAGTCGTAAGTAGTGAGAATGCACACCACTTGATGGTGATGGTCAGTATCTCAGCAGAACTTAGACTGCGGACTTATATGAACAACCGTGGTCAGGTGGAAAACATGTCAGGTTTATCACCAATGTCAACTGATACGCGCATCGGGGAGATATTGCAAAAAGTGTTTTACGTCTCAAATACAAAACAACTACTGAGGTACTATTTCACAGAAAGACCAGTAAAACAATTTATTTCACAGCTGACCAAAACTCAGCCTTTGGAAGAACCTTCCATCTTTTATGACGATTCTTCAGAACTTAAAGCCGAAGTATTTGAAAGTCTGTGCGATTACCAAAATTTTAAGACATACGCAGAGCAAACATTAGAGAAATACCAATCTAGATATGGCAAAAGCACAGTACACAGGGACATCATGAACTCGCTAGATAGCTTGGGAAAGGCCTGGGACAAGCTTGGAGACTACGGGAAGTCGGTCAGCTATTACGAACAGTCACTACATATGAAGAGAACTATCCATGACGAGGGCGCTGTAGATTCTGATATTGCCGCCTCACTTAACAACTTGGGTGGAGCCTGGAGGGACCTTGGGGATTACAGAAAGGCGGTCAGCTATTACGAACAGTCACTACAGATGAAACGGGCTATTTATGGCAAGACCAATGTACATTCTGATATTGCCAACACACTTAACAACTTGGGTAACGCCTGGAGGAATCTTGGGGATTACAGAAAGGCTATCAGGTATTACGAACAGTCGCTACAGATTATGCGGACTATCTATGGCGAGGACACTGCGCATTCTGATATTGCCGCCTCACTTAACAACTTGGGTAACACCTGGGGCGACCTTGCGGATTATAGAAAGGCTATCAGCTATAACGAACAGTCATTGCAGATGAGGCGTACTATCTATGGCGAGGGCAATTCACATTCTGATATTGCCGCCTCACTTAACAACTTGGGTGTAGCCTGGAGGGACCTTGGGAATTACAGAAAGGCTATCAGGTATTACGAACAGTCACTACAGATTATGCGGACTATCTCTGGCGAGGACACTGCACATTCTGATATTGCCGCCTCACTTAACAACTTGGGTAACTCCTGGGGCGACATTGCGGATTATAGAAAGGCTATCAGCTATCACGAACAGTCACTACAGATGAAACTGAGTATCTATGGTGAGGGCACTGCGCATTCTGATATTGCCGCCTCACTTAACAACTTGGGTGAGGCTTGGAGTAACGTTGGGGATTACAGAAAGGCTATCAGCTATTACGAACAGTCTCTACAAATGACGCGTAGTATCTATGGCGAGGGCAATCCACATTCTGATATTGCCGCCTCACTTAACAACTTGGGTAACGCCTGGAGGAACCTTGGGGATTACAGGAAGGCTTTCAGCTATTTCGAACAGTCTCTACAAATAAAGTGGAGAATTTATGGCGAGGGCAACTCACATTCTTTTATTGCCGCCTCACTTAACAACTTGGGTAACGCCTGGAGGGACCTTGGGGATTACAGAAAGGCGGTCAGCTATCACGAACAGTCACTACAGATGAGGCGTACTATCTATGGCGAGGGCACTGCACATTCTGATATTGCCGGCTCACTTAACAACTTGGGTGAGGCCTGGAGTGACCTTGGCGATTACAGAAAGGCGGTCGGGTATCACGAACAGTCACTGCAGATGGAACAGACGATCTATGGCGAAGGCACTGCACATTCTGATATTGCCGTCTCACTTAACAACTTGGGGACCGCCTGGAGAAACCTTGGGGATTTTATAAAGGCTATCAGCTATCACGAACAGTCATTGCAGATGAGGCGGACTATCTACGGCGAGGGTAATGCGCATTCTGATATTGCAGCATCACTTAACAACTTGGGTGGGGCCTGGAGGGACCTTGGGGATTACAGAAAGTCGGTCAGCTATCACGAACAGTCATTGCAGATGATGCGGAATATCTATGGTGAGGACACTGCCCATCCTGATATTGTCCGTTCACTGAACAATCTGTGCGTGGCCTATAGAGATCGTGGTGATTACAAAAAAGCCACCGAATATCTTAAGCTAAAGAAACAGATGAAACAGATACTGAGTAATCGGTAAGAAAATATACCTTTTCGTAACTGTATATGCTCTCCTCTGCCAATTGTATAGTTATAAAAAAACAGCACCATTATATAAGCTGGAAACTATATTGAAAATTTATATGGCACTGCACATACTAAACACGCCGTTTTTATTAAGGTCAAATAAGATCTAATTGAAATTTTGATAAGTAGAAACCAAAGACGGAATTTTGCTTTTTTTACACCTTAAAAGTGTTGTTTAGTTAAATCAAACTTTATTTGTAATATATTATTATTATTATTATTATCATTTTTATTCCTTGACAATAGTTTTTATTCTGTTAATTAGGGATCATTTTATCGAACGGTACCTGGATGTGCAATTTCTGGACATTGTTTTTCATGTTTGCTTTAAATTTACTATTGTTGACCTTTAAATGTAAGACGAGCATGATTTATATAGATGTCGGACTAGAGGCTACAGACTATGGTCTGGTAGAATCGTTGATTCTACAGGAAGATATTTCAAGAGGGGTCTCTGTCACAGAAATTCTGATTGGATCTCTAAGGATAGAATCGCTGATTCTACAGATTATTATTATTTATTATTATTATTTCGAAAATTGCGACATTCACAATACAGTGGCCACCCTGGCAGCAAAGCTGATGGCGGGGGCCACATATAGACATGACTACATGACTATACATACATTAACTAATGATTAACAGATTAACGTATAAGTTATTATATTTACAATTACATTCTACAGATAGAAAGGAGTATCTAACGAAAGGGTAGCCTGTGAACACAAGCTCTTTGTCCGGCGCTCAAGGAGTTACCCACTCCAAGAGCCTGGGTGGACTAGTTATAGGGAGCCGTCGAAAAGCGAGGTTCATTCAGGCTAAGGAAAGAGGGCATCTGTATACCAGTAGAAATCAAAATTGGAGTCTTTAATGTTACTTAAGTTCAATTGTCTTTTTTTGACAGGGGATTTATGATTTGCAAATGGGAAATCATTTTAACACATAGACAACATTCTGTTAGAGTGTCTGTGACACATGGTACCGATCTGGATGTACATCTCTAGCGGATCGAAGTCTCTACCTGATTTACAGTATATGTTTTTATAGCTGTTGACACGTCTTGATGTATGTGTCTGTAATTGTAGTCAGTAACGACGTTTTCTGCTTCTAAATAAACATTATGTCTAATTTACATGTAGCGCAATATTGTAAAACATGTCTGTATATGGTTGGAAAGTAGTCTTTATCCGCAGAGACTCCGATCGGGATTTCTATACCTGTAGAATCGGCTATTTAATACCGGATTGTAGTCTCTACTCTGAAATATATACAATGTTATAATCTTAAAATGAAGCTATTGACAAGTAATGGATGAAAATGATGGCAGTGGATGATAAAGATGGATAATGAATACTTTTGCTACGTGAAACATTATGCCTCCATTATGTTTTTAAACATAATGTTTTTAAACATAATTTTAAACATACATGTAAATTAAAATTTATATGTAGCGTGATCTTTGTAAATAAATCTCTGGTTTTTTTGTAAGTATGTCTCTTCAAACAATCAATCAATCAATCAATCAATCAAAAATGGTTTATTGCTAAAATCACGAACATTGCAGCAGAAAGCTGAATTACGTTCAAAGATGTACATTCATTTTAAAACGTTAACAACGACACAATCTCGTAGTCCAATTGTCGTAGTAGAATTGCACATTGGAAGATATTTACACGATATGACGTACATTAAGCTTAGTGAAATTCAAATTTTGCTCATCTCGTTCACATTTGTACTTAACATATAAAATAACATTAAACTCTCTTGGGATAGATGCAGGGGATCCCCATGTAAACAGTATGAAATGTATTATACACATCGCTTTTATGGAAAGTAAAACAACTTTAAGATAAGCAGTTGGTATCTCTTCTAGTGCGTTTCCTGGGAAAACGGATATATTGTGCAAATGATCGATGAACTGAATGAAATGTGTGAGTTTGAGTGCGTGTCAGTGTGTTTTTGTGTCGGCACTTGCATACATGTACAACATATTGTAGCATATATAAAAAATGTTGTGTAAAGACAATGAAATGTAAAAAATTCCCCATGCACCTTTTTTTTAAAACACACATGAAGCATGCGGTGGACTCTATTTTTGTCATTTACTTTCTGAAACATTTAATCATTGTCCTAGTCCTGCATAACCAAGAATCCCAGCAAGCTATGGTCAATTTTAAAAATGAAATTATAATCCAGTGAATCAAGTTATATTAGAACACTGTATTGTACAGTATATTTAAAAAGAGGCAACGAAATGCAATATCCAGCAGTCCCTGTTGCTATTAGAGTCAAATGCCAATTTTATTGAGGTAATTATACAAGATATTAACTTCATATTCTAAATATTTAACCGGCGTATGAAATGTATTATTTCTTGTTTTTCCAACTAAGGTCCAACGTATCTAATGCTATGTATGACTCACTATGAATTGTAAAAAAGGCCCATATCTGTCCCCTATCAATGGAACATTCCAGGAACGCCCCTTCCCAAGCCCTGCCTCTTCCCAAGCCCCGCCCCTTCCCAAGCCCCGCCCAGCAGGTGAGGTCATACCTGGGGACTTCCGCGTACGCAGTGCAAGTCGCTAGTGGGAACCGTTACTTTAACCTGGATTTTGACGGTGACAAGAGTTTTTCCTGCAAAAAAGCCACTATCCATCACTCTTCACTGTACCGAGAACAACATCGGTCTGGGAAGACTGAACAAGGTGTGTGTATATTGACTACGTGTCGCAATCAATGTACGTCAGAAAAAGCACGGTACTCCGACATTTTACTGTTCAATCTCACAAGCCTGTACTAAACATGGGGAACAGATTTACGGTATTTAATCATAAAACAACTTACGATTGCTGTAAAAGTTGAATTTCTATAATATTTTTTCTGCAAACAACTACTGTAGTAAGGTGGTTCTGACAAGTGTGTGTGTGCGAGTGGATATGT